TGATAATGCGTAAACGCATCAGTAACTTGATGTTATAAAACGCATTGTTGTGCATGATTTGATGGGTGAATAGTAATTGCATATAAGTCGAAGTTTATCTGTTCCTTTTATCCTAAGAGGGTAAAAGCGATATCTGGGCCCCTCGATGATTTGGTTTGACTTATGTGTCGGGCCTGGACAGGACTGAATTTATGTGTTCAATTAAGTTCTATGTCAGACGAATCAGAGGTCGAGAAACAAATTGTTGGACAATAAGTATGACTATGTTCCATGTATGTGTCCGCACGATATCTTGAACGGAGGACTATACGATCCCTTGTCTAAAGGACGAGTCAGAGTTCGACAACAGCTTTTGAAAGCTATGATTGCTAATCGGATCCTGAAGTCATACTTGCATGTATAGTTATTAGACTTATCCAAGTGAGAGACTGTTGTATTAGTGTCTAAGTCCATAACTATATTTGGTATGTACTTGATCCGGTTGTAGCATGGTCCTTTGGGTTGCCTTCACCAAAGCAACTTGACGGATGATTATTGAGAGAAAGGATATATGGGTTTATTAATATATTATAAGAATAATATATTAAAAGAGAAATCATATTTATTTAATTAACATTGGTCAAGAATTAATTAAGAATTAATTTTTGTGGTCAAAAGAGGTTAATTGAATTATGGGGCTAAAATTGTAATTATGTGATAGTTGCAAAGTTGGGAAAGGAAATCCTAGAGTATAGGGTGGACGAATTCTAAGGATAAGGCCTTAAGGAATTCGTCGAAAGGGGGTTCTAGAATTATCTTATGGGCTGCTTGGTGGCTAAGTAACCAGATAAGGATAATGACTGAAACCCTAATTTCCACACCTATATAAAGACCCCTTGGACATGAGAATTCGGCTACACCTTAACCCTAGAAGTCTTGGAGCTGATTTTCCCTCTTCCCTCTCTCTCTTGTTTCATCCAATTGCTTTTGGTGTTTGTGATTCATTAGAGACACAACATTTGGGGTGCTAATGTTCTCAAAGCTTCAAGATCTACAATCAACAATAAAGGTATTCATCTAACTTGTCTATTTGATAGTAAATTGTTTTGTTGTATGCTAGTTTAAGGTTTACAAGCTTTGGATAAATTTGCATGTATAATAGAGAAACCTAGATCCAAAGCTTTAGGGTTTTGCATGTGCACATAGGAATGTTCTTTTGCTCAAAACCCATCAATGTTCACCCTGTGTACTCTAAAAACCCATTGACATGTATTGCGGGTGGACTCCCTAAAATAATACTGTCAATAAATGAGATAAACTCTGGCAGCTATGGACTTAGCGCCAGTTAGATGAACCCTGGAAACTATGGACTTAGTGCCTTTTATATAAACCCTGGCAACGATGGACTTCGTGCCTATTCCTTAGGACAATCCTTAGGATAAATAATGAGGAATAGATATGATTCTTAGGGAAGATACTTAAGAATAAAGAAGATAACGAGGGTGGGTAATTGGGTTTATGGTTTGATGATTAAACATAATAACTTTATATTGTGGGTTGAAAACCCTATGTACTCACCAGGTTTCCCAACCTGACCCACTCGGTTTATTTGTATCACAGGTGTCGATATGAAGCTACATTACACTTAGAGATTAAAGGAGATGTAAATCTTTAGTGTAAAAGAATGTAAGATCGGTTTATACTTATGTTTTTGTATTGACGATGACATCTCAATGTTTTAATATAAACAAATACATTTCTTCGGAAATGCTTTGATAAAACCTTTATCATGTTTTTTGGGAACAAAATTTCGCAACATTGTTCTTTAAAAATGATACTCTGATTTTAAAATAAGCATAAATAAAATTTTTAAAATGACTGTGAATTTGAGGATGTCACATGAACCTCCAATACTATTAGATACATTTAAAGAGTGAAGTTGTGTTATTTTAGTTTTCTTTTAAAAATATGAGCTAGGTGGTATAGAAGACCTTTTAATTCAGAGTTTTTTCAAAAAAAATGAAGCTAGTTTTAGAAAAGTTAAAATGCAACCACTATCGCTCTGAGACCAATTGTTGAGAGAAGAACTTGTGCTTGAGATTATGATGCAGAATTTAAAGTTAATCTATTGGATCTTTGATTAGCTCAACAATAATTAATTGCGGAATATGAAGAACAACTTATATTATAACAACAACAACAATACCAAAAAAGTCTAAGCAAGATAAACAATACTTGTTGAATCATATCAAGGTTTGCTTGCAAACACAAGTTAGTAAATGAAGAACAACAACGTATGAATGGAGAAAGATACTTTCATTTCAGTAATGGATTACAATTAAGGAAAAGATCTGAGACACATTTGTTCAAAACAGATACCACCTATTTATAGGAAAGTAAAGTACAACCTATTGATTAGATAATACAAAAGGTAAGGTGGATTAGGCGGTCATGCTTGCCACGCCTGATCTGACATATATCACCAGTCACTTAAGGTCTGAAAACACTGATCGTTGTACTTCACTCTTTACAAGACGTCATGACAAAATACTTGAGCTCTTTGCATAAGCTCCTGCATTCTTTGCATAGCCAATTCTTCAGTCAATTATATTCCTCGTATATTATCAAGAGAATACTTTGCATCACCAAAACACTAATATCTATGCATAATCAAAATGTAAACTTCACACACTCCACAAAAACTTTAGCTGCCAAGGGTCACTTCATGGATCAACAATTGGGACTTTTGGAATGCCCGAAGATGCAGCGGTGGCAGAATGGGTTAATAGTGGAGGGCCTCGAGTTTGTCAATAGGAAAAAGAAGAAGAAGAAGGAAAGACAAGAAGGCGGTCAGGTTTGGGAGTACATGGGAGAGAGGTGTGGTACAAGTTGTTGATGCATTCGACTTCCTTCCCATACATATAGAAACACATTAGTGAAAGAGAAAGAGAGAAAAAGAAACAGAGAGATGGAGAAATAGGGAGAGAGAGAGAGAGAGAGACCGATTAAATGAGCTTAAATGAGCTGGCATAAGGGGTAATCGGGTTACCCCTTCGTTCTGCCAAACGTAACCAATTAGACCCTTCAAAAACAATTTATTCCCTAGTAAAGCACACAAATAAGTTAAGGGTCTGATTCAGCAAATTCGAAATACATTGTTAGGCTAATGTGTCATTTCCTTTATATATATATATATATATATATATATATATTATATATATATATATATATATATATATATATATATATATGGTCCGGTCCCGGTGATGACTCTTTTTTCGGTGAGGACTCGTGACGACACCTTAAAAAATTGAAAAAAAATATAAAAAATACAAATCATAAATCTAGCATAGTACTATATCGGAGAGAAACAAAATTAAAAAAAAAATTAGATCATAAAAGTAAATCATGGATCATAAAAATAATCATGCTTCAATTTTTCTCTCCGATATAATACGGTGCTCGATTTTATCATTTGTATTTTTTTATTTTTTTTCAATTTTTTTAAGGTGTCCTCACGATCCTCAACAAAAAAAGAGTCTCCACCCGATCCTATATATATATAATATATTATATATATCTATATATAGATATATATATATATATATATATATTATATATATATATATATATATATATATAATAGCCTAATTTAAGTATTTTTTTTGATTATAAACTATAATTACCTAAATAAATTTTATTTTTAAATGGAATTTTATAGAACAAATCAAGTGATTACATGTGTCCTCAGTCAACACCAACTATTAGGTTGGGGGAGTGACGACGAACATGTCGGGGTGCACCTTAAGTCTAGTGTGTGTGTGTGTGGTGTGTGGTGTGTGTGTGGTGTGTATATAATATATATCTATATATTATATATATATCTTATACGGGTCAGATCGGTTGAGAACTCATAGTTTCCCGAGAACCTAAGAACTAAAAGTGGAGCGTTAGATCAAAACAAAATCATTAAGGGCATGATCGTAATCTTATCAATCTCATTTAATATTTATTTTTTTGTGTTATTGTAAATATTAATATAAATGTCTAAAAAATACATAATAAATCAAATTTTCTGATTTTTTTTAAAAATAGAATTTTTTTTTAGTTTTTTTTAAAGTGCAGATTTTTTAATTTTTTTATGGAAAACATGAATTTTTGAAAAAAAATTGAAAAAAACATTTAAAAAAAACTGCAATTTTTTTAAAAGCATTTAAAAATCAATAAAATTTTAAAAAAATAAACTGGAAAATTTAAAGAATACTATAATTTTTTAACCAAAAAAATCAACATTTTTGGTACATTTATGCATATTTTTACAAGTGTATATGTGCATATTTCATATATTATAATATTTGTAAAGAATTCATAAGAAAACTCATTTTATTTACTAATCTATAAACACAATACAATAAATATTTTATTCGATACAATATAAAATATAAAAAACAAAAAAATGCTACAAAATTTCAAAGCGTTTTCATGTCTTCGTGTCAATATTTCCATATTTTCTTCAATTTATCATTTTTCACCTCTTCAATATTCACCACAATTTCTTCCAAATCTACAAGAAAAATAAAAGAAATCGGTTGATGCAAAAAGACTCACAAAAATACATATGTAATTTAAATGTGAATCACATATAATTCATATGTGATTTACATGTGAATCACATGTAATTCATATGTTAGTTACATGTGAATCACATCTAATTCATGTATGAATTACATGTGATTCATATGTGAATAACATGTGATTTACATGTGAATAACATGTGATTTATATGTGATTTACATGTGAATCACATGTAATTCATATGTGAATTACATATGAATCACATCTAATTCATATATGAATTACTTGTTATTCATATGTGAATAGCATGTGATTTACATATGAATCACATGTGATTCATATGTGAATAACATGTGATTTACATGTGAATCACATGTAATTTATATGTGAATTACATGTGTATCACATGTGACTCATATGTGATTTACATGTGAATCACATGTAATTTACTTAATAAGGTTCGAAAAAAAATCAAGAAGAGAAGAAAAAAAGTTACACATGGGATTTTGTAGAAGGTTCTCATTGTTGGTTCCAACATCAATCATGATAGGAAGAACCTGTTACAATAAAAAAAAGGAAAAAGATATGTTTGCATGTGAGAAATTTTAGAAATATGTATATATTGAGATGGATAATGTGCAAAAATTACTCTCTGAGGATTTATTCCAACTGCAGCAACATATAAATCCAACTTCCCAATTGCAATTCCAATACCTTGAACTCCTAGATCACCAAGACCCATTATTCTGCTTCCATCAGTAACAACAATCATATCAACCTACAAAATTTGCAAAAAAAGTTTTGAAATTTGAACACAAACACCAATGTATCTATATCTAATAATTAAAAAAAATCATATCATTTATTTAAAAGTAGAGTACCTGTTCAACAGGCCAATTATAAACCATTGACATCATTTCTCCACGATCAAGAGCACTGAAATATATCCCTCTTGGTCTTCTAAACAATCCACTGTATTTCTGTCAAACAAGTCCTACTGTTGGAGTGTACACTATTGGGGCATACTCATTGATATTTACCATTAGAAGCTGTTATAACATTAGATACATTGTTATTGGTTAACACCAAATGTGTTAACACCACTGTATTTCTGACAACAATCAAAACTCTTAAGCCTGTAAAGTGACAACTAATAGAAGATTAACTATATAAAAGTATTCAAATAAACTAAATGACAAGATATGCAATTTCACAGACAATAAAGCTCTTATTAGAGATCAATTACAGGAAAAAATGAAAATCAAAGCCTGTAAAAATATCAGTAATATGTTGTACAGAAGAAGGTAATACCAGATCAAAAAATTGAAAGCCACTTCCATTATCAACAATCATATTTGAACCGCTATTCCCTGAAATCTAGATCGATGTGTAAGAGAGTGATGAAGGCACGATGATAGGAGGAAGAAGAGATAGATCCATAAGAGGAGCCTAGAGTGATCAATATCAAAAAAGTGTTGTAAACGAAAACATAATTCCAAATCTGAAATATATACAAAAAACGAATAAGAGATGAGATGTAGTACCAAATCGGTCACCGGAGATGAGACGAAGATGTGATTCGATTGCAGAAGATGAGGCGGAGATGAGACTCGATCGTGACATGGCATTTAACTGAGTGAAGACATTTGGCACCTCACTTTAGTTCATAAAGTCAATCAATATGCAAAGACAAGGTCAAGACCACAATAATCTTAATTCATCAATAAAAAGTAACACAAAATTCAACTAATTCAAGTCAAAGTCTTGAATCAAAGGGTGATGATGTCTATTTGAACATCCTACGACTTTGCACAAAATGAAGCATACAACCAGGATCAATCTGTAATCCTAAAGTACAACTCGTGAAAGAATGAAGGAAGGAAGAATGACCAACCTGATTAGCTAGAGAGACATAATCAAACTTCATAAATCATATTTGAATTCAAAATGATGAACTGAAAGGCGGAGGTGGAGGTCGTCAAACGACGGTGCGGTGATTTAGACTTCGATGTTGTTTCATGTTGTGGTGTGTGAGAGGTACAGGACAGAGATGGAAACAGGAAAATCAAAGAGAGGCGTGGAAGTTGGAGCTGTATGGTGTTAGAGAGATTTATGCTTAACGTGTCTTTATTATAGAGCAAGCTAAAGAGCCTGCAACAACCAAAAGTGCCAAAAACTGGAAGTCAAATATCACCTGCCAAATGAACAAACTTGAATTACAACATTGAAGAATCAGATGAATTTCTAGAAAAACAAATTAAATTGAATCAGGTGTAATTATCCACTAACAATCTCGTAAGAACACAAAAACCATATGAAATTCTAGAAAAAACAGCAACAACCTTCGCAGAAGGATATCAGAAAATCATGTGATATCAGAAATCAAAAATCGAAAACGAGTTACCGGTTCATAATTGTTATTAGTTTAATAAAATGAAAAACGAAAGTAAATCTGACCTTCTTCCTGAAATTAAACAACAGTATAGGAAAATTCGACAAAAAACTCTCAACTTCTAGAGCTTGAGTTTGCAATTGCTAACATCTAGATCTTGAATTTCATCATTGAAAGATCATAATCGAGATTAATCTAGACATCTCCTTCTCCATCTTCATTGATGATCGAAAAACAAGCCGTTCAAGGAGCGATTATTAATTACAGATCTCGAAGGCGTTTGTGGTGTACGTTTTAGGAAAGGCGGCGGTGTGAAAGAACCCCTTTCTAAACTTTCGTATTTCTGAAAGACCCAAACTTTCATACTTCACAATATTGTTACTCCAAAACATGCTACATGATATATTAAAACAACATATTTTACATTGATAATTTGATTACAAAAGACTGGATACAAACCGACTAAGTTTTAAATATATTACATAACTACCCAGGATATTTAAGCTTTTATACAAACGTAAACCCAAGTACAAAAATAATAGTATAAATTATTCTAAATCTTCCAACAGTATATGACTATACTAGATTCTCATTACCTACAATTGTTAAACACTGAGAGAGGTAAGCGGTGACGCTTAGTGAGTTCAATAATAGATACAATATAACGTTATGCCATATATATACTTCAATATGGTAGAAACATAGGGAACAAGGAACAACAAAGGCATATGTGAATCATGCGACAAGATTTCCATAACAATCAATGAGACATAACAATTTCAATACTTGATATACATCAATAACGCTTCGGCCCAAATGGCACAAAAGACATACAATTTCTGATTTAAACATTTTAGTAGATTTCAGGCTTTTAGCCCTATCTAACTTACTGCCAATGCCAAAGAATAGAAGTCATTCTCTTACGAGACATGCTCTACATGGCCAGAGGCTACATACCAGTACGACCGTGAATCTAAGTCCTTTCACTGATCACATGGTCAAAGGTACAAGTTTGCTATCATAATAGCGGAAATAATAACACGAGATGATAACATGGAAAAACACATAGCACATATAACACATAACATACAATTGTTCCTATATAGTGAACTAACCATGAAATAACCGAGGGTTAAAGTATTAATTTGGGCAGCACTTCGACTCTAAAAATGACTTTCTGTGACGAAACCGGAGATTTTAATTGAAAACCGGGCTTTACTCGGGCAGAGTTTCTACTTGAAAATATGATTTTCTCGGGAACTTCGGAGCGTCGGAACTTGCTTCGGGTTTCAGGGATGATAACGGGACCTCGGGGGGGGGGGGGGGGGGGGGTTAAAAGTAGGTAAAAAGGAGAGTAGAGAGTGAAATGTGTAAGAATTTGTAACCTAAAGCCTCGCATCCCTTTTATAGGGGCCCGAAGCAGCTTACTACGCGATGCGTAGTTCCTCGGTACGTTGGGCGTACTGCATGGCGGTCTTCTACGCGAGGCGTACTCCTCGTACGCGGGGCGTACCTGCGAGGTGTCGACTGATTGGAACCCGAGCCTCGGACGTGTCATCCATGCGAGATACGTGTCTAACTTGCGAAGAAAGGAGCTATGTGGCCAACTTCTGACCTAGTCCAAGTACGCTGGGCGTACGGCTTCGGATAAGTCTTGAATATTTATTTATTTTTTTATTTAAAAATTTCAAAAATTCATATCTTTTGCATACGAGCTCCGTTTTTTACGTTCTTTATATCCACGCGTAGGTGAAATTATGGTCTACAACTTTCGTTTAGACTCCGTCGGCTAATTTTGACTTTATTTATAATATCATATTTTTAACAGGCCGGGACAGGAAAAGTCTGTTAAAAATTCATAACTTCTTCATCCGATGTCCGTTTTCGTCTGTCTTTTTACTGTTGTACTACTATTGACGAGACCTTCAATTCTCGTTTAGGTTGCATCGGCTAAAAATCACTCGATCTTTATTTCGAGTTTTTAGCTGTCTACTACTATTCCGAAACTTAGAAAAATCTTAACTTCCTCATACAAAGTCAGATTTGGACGTTCTTTTTATGAAAATTCTCGGTTTAACGAATACTACGACTTTCATTTAGATCATAAGGGCTAAAAAGTAGTTTATCAAAAACTCCCTTTTTACGTCATACGACGTCGTGCCGGTTTTGTCGCGAAACTTCAAATAGTCATAACTTCTTCGTTATAACTCGGATTTCGATGAGGTTTTCGCCTAAATTTTTCTAACGTGATTCTTTACAACTTTCAATAATAAAATTTTACTTATTTCAAATTTTATATTTTCGTTAAATTTCAATATTTGACTTTTGATTGGAATCTCATAAGACTTCCAATATTTTTCCGAGTGATTCTAAACATAGTTTTACTTCAATTCTAGTAAAAACTATCTGTTAGAACTCAACGCTCAAAATCACATAATATTTCATAATATTATTCACTTTTAAATTACAAAACACGATAACTAAACGTGTATGTTACAAATACCTCATCCTTTTGAGGATTTCGTCCCCGAAATTACAACGATTTAAACAATTGGGGATATTTCGTTCTTATCTCATTCTTATTTTCCCAATTATAATTTAGGCCTCGATGATGTTTCCACTTGACGCGTACCAACTCCAAGACATATGCACAAAGCATATCTTCTATTGTTTGGATTGTTCTCTCCGTCTGACCGTCTGTCTGGGGATGATAAGTTGTGCTAAGAGCAACACGAGATCCCAATTCATGTTGCATACTCGCCCGAAAATGAAAAGTGAAGCGAGTATTACGATCAGAAATAATCTTTAGTGGTACACATCATTTACGGTTTTCTTCTCCTATTTTGAGATATCGACTGTATAGACCAGATAGATAGAACACCACTTCGATATAAATTTACGAGTTTTTAAGAAAGAATTTATCTTTAAGATTTTTAAGTCTTTGTTCACTGTAGACGTAAATAGGATCCTTCCCTTCGATAGGGTTACGTACCATCTTTTCGTAACACCAGAGTTTTGCGTCGTTCTTTAATAACCAATACATGCCGAGAATAATATCAAAGTTGGGTAAGGAGATAGGAATCAGATTGGCAAGAAAATTATAGCCTTCAATTTCTATGACACAATCTCTATAGATTTTATCAGCAAATAATGATATACTTCCCGCAGTATCTACGTGAAATGATTGGGCGAATGAATAACAAGCAATTTTGGAATCAATGCGCAAATTCATGAGACACAAAAGAATCTGAGGCACCAGAATTAAATAAGATGTGAGTAGGTCTAGAGTTGACAAGAAATGTACCCGTCACAACATTCGGGTCCTCGCGTGCCTCCTCTGTGGTAATCTGGAATGCACGGCCCTTAGCTTTTGGCACCTCCTCCTTTTTAGTTGGAGTATTCTTTGGTTGTTGGACGGAATCTTGACTTCCCGCCATTTAACTAGTAAGAGTAGGGCAAAAACGCTTCTTGTGGCCAGTAATACCACATGCATAGCAAGTAACATCCTTCCTTGGGCAAGCTGGC